CATCTGGATTCTGTTCTGTATTTCTCTGATGAAGACCAAGAGTATACAGATTTTAAAAAACTAAGTTGTATGAGGCATTTTAGTTTTATTTTCCTTTATGGAGTGAAACTTGCCAATTTCATTTATTTACAAGAAGACAATCTGAAATGGAATTTAGAGAAACATGAATTTATAGGATCTTATTTTTTGCCCATATGCCATTAAGTACTTTGTAAAATTTAAAGGCCTATAAAAGTAAGCTATGACTCAAATCTCAGGGAAGAGCAACATTTTGGGAATAAAATGTAACAAATTAAAATTGGATTTTGTTTTCAGGAATTACAATCATAGGTTATAAACACATCCTTGAAAAATAAGCAGCTTAGTTTTTATTATTTTACAGACTGATTTAATAAACAATTGTGCACCTTGTACTGTGCTAGTCACTTTAGACAAAATAAATTTCTCTGAGATTACACATATACAGTGACCCTTGAACACCACTGGTGCCCTCCCATGCATTTGGAATACATGTATAACTTCTGATTTCCTCCCCAGAAATGAACTACAGTTATCCCTTGGAATCTGTTGGGGAATGGGTTTAAGACCAACAGCTGTGGCTGGTAGAATTCATGTATGTGAACCTGTGGGTATGGAGGGTCAACTGTCGTTAATGTGGATTGAAAACAATCCACACATAAGTGGACCCACACAGAAGCACTTTGTTAAAGATCAAAAATAAGACTGCTATGCAAATTGAGATTTATTTTATGGGCTTAAATATTAAAAGCTTTAATGCAACACATATTTGTTATAAAAGAGCTGCGATTATGTCATATTTTGTCAGTTTTCAGCTAAACGGAAAGCAGGCAGAGACCATAAACTCCTGGCTATACTGTGATTCCATTAACTGCAACTGTTTTGCCAATATTCATGGATAAATTTTAGAGAAACCAAGTTGTATGTGGGTAGCTTAGCTCCTTACATGTGCTCATATCTTCAAAAGGCAGATGGCTATTTTTTCCTTTGGAACAGGACCAAGCATAATGCTGGCCTATAGTAACTGTGAGGAGACTCATGACAAAGCTAGATCAGACTGAGTGTCAATATACAATATGAGTAAACTTTAAAGGTAAAATAATATTTATCTCAAAGTAGGGAATAATGAAAAAGTTCTAGAATGTCCTAAAAAAAAATTCGCTCTAATGCTGAAATAAAGGAGGTGCTTTCGTATACTTCATGTTTTCAGTCATATTGCATGCATTTTTCCCCCAAAAGAAATTTTAGGTAAAGGTTTCATCTTTGCATTTTGGATGGATTATCCTTTTGAATTTGGTTCAACTATTTTAAGAAAAGGAAATATCCTCTAATGATATCATTTGAGCTAAGCCAATTTCTTTTAGAAGCAACAAAAAATCTGCCAGATGTTGCTATTATGAAACAATGAGCTAGCATTTATAATTCATCTGACACCTGGATACACTGGCATAAACAATGACTTTTTATATCATGAGGCAGTTCTAATTTAAGTTCAGTGCTTCATCTGTTTTCTTTGTAACTCTATTAGTACTCCTAGACAAGTCTAGGCATAGTTCATGGACTGCTTTTCGGCATTCAGCATGTTTGAAACAGTTAATAAGGAGTGAACACAGTCCACCAAAGAAAATTTTGATTGCTGCTGTGCAATTTAGCACTTATTTTTAACGTTGTTGGGTCTGGCTGTCTTCTGTGCCCCTGAGAGACTGAGGATAGCACTAATTCGAATTGCTTCACAAAAGCACCACTGTTCAACTTGAAAAGTATTCAAGGAAGGGATTTTCTGATGCCTAAAACCAGTATGCAGGAGATGAGGAAACTCTACCTTTTATAATTAAGTCATAAGAGTGAGAAACACGATTTAACTGTGGTCTTGTTTTTGAATGAACAATCATCACTCTTTAGCACGAAATAATTTGCTTCACCAAAGCTGATACCTATCATACATAGTCAAGTATCCTTAAATATTTCAATTAAGGTTATCATCAGCTTGTTTTGCCCTGACTTGCCTGCACTCAGGTTATTATAGATGAGGTGCTAAGTCAAAGAAGGTTAACATAATATATAGTAAATATTAAAATTTTATATTTTAATTAAAAAATGTTAATGTGGTACAACTAGATTTGAAATCACAAACAGATCTTTAGACACTGAACAATATTTTCTAGAGTTTGTGAGGTATTCATCTCAAATAACTGATCTTTCATTAAAGGGTAAGCTTTCAATTTCAGAACTGTTTACACAGAACATTTGAAATTTATTTTCAATAAGGAGATAAACAAGAAATTAAAGAAACTCAAAATTGCTTTTCATATATATTTTACATTGTTTTACCATCTATGATAATGTATTCTAAAGATAACAGGAATGTAATTTATACTTCATTTACATTTAACTGCTTCTATGTTCATACCACTTAAGAGGTACTCACAGAATACAGGTTACTTTCCAACATTTTAAACTACTCACTCTCCCACACACCTCATCCCACCCACCCAATAAAATAAAAGTATTACATTCCAAGTAATTATTTTTTATACTTGGGACACACTGCTGAACGTATATACTATATTCCCATTGGTAAGGACAGTATGATTTATATGAGAATCTTCTACCCTTGCTGATTGTGAGTGGATTCTTTTGTTGTATATAAATCTGTATGATGAACACAGGTACTTAACATATTTAACAGAGCATTTCACTGAAGCTAAATTTATCCAACTAGACTCAGTCCTTGCTACTCTGCCCCAATTAAAGAAACGTTTAAAAGGTAAGAAACAACAACAAAAGAAAACACAAAAGGAGGTCGGGGGAATAGAAGGGGAAACAGTAGCAAGCCAAGAAAATTCAGTAACTTTTTGAAGTTAGTGATTACTTATTAGCTAGCTATTCTTCTAACATCAACACAACTGTGTGACTTATGAGGCTTGAGACTGAAAACAGCAATAGAAAAAGTTAAAAATCTCCACATTTTTAACTATTCCCTGGAACCATTGCTTGTCCTTCTTCCAGAAAGTAGGGAGCCAGGCTATTAAGTACTTTCTGGGCACCTGACTAACAAATTCTTCTCTGGAAAATGAGATAGCTGCTGTTCTTTTTTTCTGAAACTCCAATTTACTGAGCCTTAGTATTTTAAGCATATAAATTTACTAGATTTGGTCATTGTATATAGTTGTGTAGCCACCACCACAGTCAGGATTCAGAACAGTTCTCTCACCCTAAAACATTTGCTCATGTCCTTTCCCTGACCACTCATTCTAGGCAACCACTAATTTGTTTTGTCACTGTAGTTTTGCTTTTTGTAAAATACATGTAAATGAAATTATCTAGTATGTAGTCTTTTTATCTATTTTCTTCACTGATCACAATGATCATAAGATTCATCTGCGGTGTTGTGTATATTAATCATTCCTTTTGCTTGTTTAGTATTCAATTGTATGGCTATACCAAAATTTGATCATTTAGTTTGTTTCTCATTATAAATATAAGTAACAGGGTCAGAAAAAGGTTACTTAGCACACTATATTCTATTTAATAATTCTAAGAATAGTTCCTGGTCCATACTGAGTCAATAAATATTGGTAATGATTGTTCTGTTGTGGTGTATGTATATACAAGCATGGAGGCAGGAAATGGCCTAGTGCAGTTGGTCAGCATAATACAACAACAGTAAGCCAGACAGTAAGTGCTTTCATGAAGAACTTATGCTTTCACCTATCTAGAAGTGAGAAAAGATGCTTGTTTCCCTTTTTTGTTCTCAGTTAAGGTTTCTTTTTTCTGAGACCATGGTCTCTAAGCTTCTCCCTTAATATTCTAAGAGGAAACAAATAAGATTACTTGCTGCCAAGAGTTTAAAAGTGTAAGATCAACCTTGTGCCTATCTTCTCCACATGCTGCTCAGAGAGGATCAACTGAGGTTAATCAATGGGTCTTTTCTTTAAGAAGCTATTTGGTGCAATCAAAAACATAACTATTGGGATGTATGTGTAGTCTTTGCTAATAGGAATGGAGTGGTTTTTTTGAGTGATGAAATGTTTTAAATTGATAGTGGTAACTGCACAGCTAAATATAATAAAAACTATTGAATCACATACTTTAAACACAGAGATCAAGTGATTAACAAACAATATAACCATATACCAACTTGCCAGCAGACCTAGTTCCAATTCTAGCTCTTGAAAACATTTTCCATCTTTTCTTCCAACAGTTATCTGGGGGGGCCATGTATTTCAGAGGCTCCCTGTTCCCACAAATATGTTTGTTACATCAGACCCCATCAGAACCCATTCATTGTTGTGGTACAGATGAAACAGATGGAATTATCAGTCCTCCTTTTCCTAGGCCAATTTAGTCACTGGAACCAATACCTTCAATTTGCATACCCAGGCCATCCAATTCTCAAGCCCAAGGCCCTACGAGGAAGTAAATGTTTGATGCCTGAGATGAAGGTAGGAATAAGTCTAGAGTACTCACATCTCCACACCCTATCCCCTATTAGGTTTGACTAGATTTATACTAGGTTTCTGTTTGGTCTCTTGATTAGCCCTGACTAGGTCATCCAGTTGAACTAAGTCAGTGTTTTCAACCACATAACTTGCCTGGTTAGACCCTTATTCTTTCTCCAGGGGTTAAACTCTACCTCCTGTATTCCTAAGCACAAGCTAGGTTTCTCTCAAACTGGGAAGATCATGTGCTGGATTTCAGGCACTCCTAATATGTCGGGATTTTCTCTATCCTAGGTCAATACTTCTTGTTGGCAATTTAGAGAGCTGGCACTTCACATGGGGGCCAGTCCAGTAGCAGTTCATCTGTCCTAGTTTCTGAAGCCAACAAGCTCTTTTTCTTCTCTATTCCTAGCAATCTACTGCTATGATTTCAGCAAGTCTTTCAGATGAATCCATCAGAATTATGACAGGAAGATACAATATGACAATAAAGCTAGTTTCATTCATTCATATCAAGTCAGTTTAAGTTGCTCTACTTACCTGGTGTACACAGTCTAAGAATTGTAGGAAAACTGGAGCAAAACCGCTACCCTGACAGCTGAGGGTCAAACTGCTCCGCTGACTGAATTTATGACCAAAAGAGAGCCACTCTTTTTCAACCAACATCTGGAAGCCTTCAATGGTCCTATAAAAGGGATCACTAAGTAACTGAACCAGGGATGTCACCTAGGGCACAAACAGAATGGAATCTTCTTACTTTTTGTCCTGAAAAAAATCCCATTGCTAAGACAAAACACTTCCTTTTGATAATAGCTAATTTACAAGCAAGTTACCAGAGCAGGAAATTTGCTCAGCCAATCAAATTCTTCACACTATCCAGTAAAATTTAATCTCAAATTCATTTTGGCCACAAAAACATGTGTTTCTTTCAGGGAATTAAGATTTTAATCTTTACCTTGCCAGTTTGATGACTGTGGCCTTCTAGTCTAATTAATGAGGCCGAGAGGATCAGTTCAAACCTACGTCTTTTCTTCAGTAGGCCTTACTGTACTTTATACACACATTTTTCTTTTCACACTGGAATAAAAGAGGGGCTTATAGAGAGCCAGGGAAAGAAGTGACAAAGGACAAAAGAAGTCCTATGTTTAACATAGGACTGTCTGTCAATACATTTATTGTTATATAGAAAATTTTACCTGCAAATCTTAACTAAATTGAAATACAAATATAAAGCTAAATGTGAAAATATATGTAACAGTTTACTTGTGCAGTGATGTCCCAGCCTTCTTCCAAACAGACCAAAGCTGAGGAACCATTTTCAAGCACTTCTGACACAACCAAAGCCAGCTGCATTATCCTGTGAAGCTAAGAAAAATGAAAGGAGGTCACAATTAGGCCAAGTGCTCTCTGAGCATCAAGAACAGAGACTTGCTATCAACCTTAGAGAATTAAACAAGTTAGGAATAGAGTATTCTGGCAAAAATGACCACATAATGTTTTAAAGTACTTAGAAGTTCTTTGTAAAAATTAGACCAATGCCCATTTTAAGTGTTCATGTGACACAATGAAATAGACCTTATATAACTGTCCCAAAAGTAGAAGAGTTGTAACTCCATAGAATGGAAAAGACAGATTCTAAGTGGTCTCCAAACATGGTTATTTGGCTTAAAAATTGTTTTTCTATAATGTATTAAGTTCTATTTCAGATATATTATCTGGAATTAGATAGTATGGCTGGTTGCACAACTTTGTGAATATACTAGAAACCACTGAATTACACTTTTTAAAAAGAAAAAATTTTAGAGATTTTATTAAATAGGAAGAAAACTTGTATTTGTGCTGAACTTTTAAAGTCAAGTAAATGAACTCAAGTCCCCATTGAACAATTAGTTTGTAAGTTTATATGCTTTGCTTACACCCTAAGTGTGTATTGTTCTAGTATTAAGTATCATATGATATAATCTGTAGAACAGATTTATTTCTGAACTGAAAACTATTCCTCCCTCTCATATTTTAAGCAGAGCAAGGCTATTTTACACACAGGAACAAAGCAGAGGTCCTCTCCAGCAATGGGGATCTCCTGTTGTTTCTATAGCACAGTATTTTCAGATCTTAATTCCCCTGGGCTCAGCATTTGCTCTAAGAATTAACTTTTAAAATGCCAATAGCCCAAGTGGAGCAATATTTTCAACTATTTTTGGTCCCTAACTTGTGATATGGGTCTACTACTTTGGAGAAAGAGTAGAGCACAGAATATACGAAAAACACATAGGATGGGTGGTGGGGATAGTCTGGGGTTGGAGCTCATCCACAACTTAGGGACAGAAGAAGGTATTGATCAGCTCCTTCCATGAGTAAAGTGTCCTAAATTCCTTTTAGTGGTAATTAACTTACCCTGATACAGACTTACAGTTAATTGTATATGTGGCTGTGTTTTTCCATAGTTTAAGTACCTTGAGACAAGTCATTGCCCTGGGTAGTCATATAATTTTCTGTTTGTTTTAGTGCCTTTTACTCTTGTGGAAAACAACCCCTTTTCCTCAAGAGAGGCCGAAGACTTGGAGGTACATAGGGGCAGGGGCTAAAGGAGGTGGGAGGTTCTACAGGGGGAGAAGGAATAATGGACATAGCATGAGTGGCCTAAAGACAGGGATATACTACCAAAGTGTTCTTCGTCAAATTCTGAAACATGCATATCATATTTTTCTTTCTGTGGTTTGTAAGAAATGTGTGTGTTGCTGGCATATCCATTTCCCCTTAATTTTTCATTAGAAGTCCAATTAAAAACATCCCAAGCTTGACTTAGCTGAAAGATGATGACTATGGTTTTTCCTGAATTTGGATAACTTTTAAGATATTCAGACATTCTAGGCAAAACAAATACGTGAGAAAGTAAGGGAAAGACTTGGGGTCATCTAAAAATCACATTCTGTTCTAGATCCTTACTTTGCTGACAACAGAGCAGAGACCATATATTTCTAAAAGGTTCCATCTAAAAATATCTCCTCTGTAGCATCCTGTAAAGACCAACCTTTCAATTACAGAAAGATAAAAATCCAGGGATTAGAAATTCTACCATCTCATCTCTTGTATCGTACAATTTCTTGGAACTGAAAGGCCTTCAAAGAGGGCACACAATAAAGGGAAGAACCAGGTAATAGGGGAAACACATTTTTATCTCAAATATCAATTCTGTGTATCCAGTTGGGCTTCTCTTTCCTTGAATTATAAGACAAATTCCTCCAGACATTACCTGTGGGAACCACTCAGAGTCTCCCAGGGCTTTCAGGAAGGTCACTTCTGAATCAGTAGGGATGGTACTTGGGACACAAGCCCTCATTAGCTTTTTAAAACTGGCTTTCACTTGTCGGATGTCATGAAATTCAACAGGAACAAATTCACAATTTAAAGCAAACTCTAACTTGAAGTTCTATGGGTGAAAATGCAGAGAATCAGGTAGATGAAGAGCTACAGAACATTATTTTCAACAGGGCAATATATTTAGTGATATATAATTATTTGAAACCAAATAACTGTAGAGGCTCCCAGTGGATATGAAGGTCAATCTTGTGTGGTAAATGTGTCAGTATTGCTGGAAGAAGTCAGGCAATAGGTGTAGTAGTTTGACTTGGCTAGCTGCTACTCTGATAGAACTTTAAGGGTGTATAGGTAGGCTGGGAACTGATGGGATTTATATAATGATAGGCCATAAACCTGGAAGTCTAGAAAGCATGATTAAAATATAATAAAATATACTGATACATAATATATCATGTATTAATCATGCTTTCTAGACTAAAGTCTCCCTAAGATGCACATTTTAAGAAAAATTTTTTGATACACAAATATTTATTATTTAAGTAAAACATTCGTTATAAAAATGAAGAAAAAGAGATAACCACTGGGAAGGAAATAAAAATCAATATTTCACAGTACTAACACTATAGTAACTCTTTTAAGCAAATTCTAGCTTTGAGACAATATTTTTTTCATGCAATATGACACGTATACTTATTTTAATACTTTTAGCATTATATCTTTAATCCATATGCATTTTTTTCTATGTTGAGGTTACATTTGTAATTAAACAACGCATTTTGAAAATCTGGATGCCTGAAGTTCTGTAACTTCTCCTGCCAAAAAATGAATTTTCTCATCTTCTTACCACTTTCTTCTCATTCTTCCCAAATTATTGCATCGTACACTTTTCTAATAAAACTGTTTCCTGGAGATTATTTGCAAAATAATGTGAATGCACATAACACTACTGACCTGTACATGTTAAGATGTTATGAGATTTGTTTTAGCACAATATAACCAACCTACCAAGGACTGGACTTATATGTCAGGTCTGTTTTATGTTTTATAGTGGTTATTTTAGAGTATTTTTAAAAAAGGTCTACTAAAGTTTCAAAAGAATGTGTGAAAACTCAAGTTTTTTAAAAAAATTATAAGTATCAAGAAAAGTTTTTCTTAGTAATTCTACTTGTAGGAAGCTAACCTGAAGTAGTAATCTAAAATGTAGGGGGAAAAAACCTAGAGAGTTGTATCTCAATAAAAAAATAATAAAACTATATGCTTGAAAATGTGACTGTAGTTTTATCTTCTGTATAATACTGATAAAAGGTAATCATTATGTATTAAAGTAATTATGAAGACTATTCTACACATGGAAAAATGTGGTTATGAGACAAAGAACTTAGGAGAATATATAAGTTCTTTCTTTTTTTTAAACTCATAACACATAAAAGATGTGTGTTTCAGGAAAACTAGGTTCCCTTCTATTTCCCAGCTATATATGAGCTGGTGTGACTATCTTATAAAACCAGGAGTCAGCAATCAGTGTTGAGACACAATGTTAGGTCATAGGAATTTGTTATTCAGTATAAGTATTCAAGAGTGTAGATTAAAAAAAAGGCTAATTCAAGATTACTTAGAATAAGTTAATTACTTGCATTCCTACTGGGATAAAAGCAGTAGCGTTGCAATTAGAGAATACTGTGCTAGCTATAATATAGCACACTTTTATAATGTAGCTAATACTTTATTGGATGAAAGAAAGGGAGGGGGTGTGTCCCAAAGTGGTCTATCTTTCTTACTCCTCTATACATGATCAAAGAGCTAATCTGAGGACTTAGGTGTGAAAGGAATGGCGAGATGAATATTCAGGCGATAAATCTCAGGGAGTGATTCAGATCACAAATAAGTGGTATGCTGAAATGTGGAAAGTCTGTGTTCTGGAAAAGACACTGGTGCTAAGGCAGCTGTGTAGGCAGCCCTGGGTTGCTATTGCAAAGTGTTCCTATTTTCTTTATATAAAATTATTTGCTGTATCAGAAGACAAGTGTGCATATTAAAGAAATAAGCACTGCCTAGCAGTTTCATGCCCTTTGCCCTAAATGTTGGTGACTAAGTGACTGCGGCAGTGTTTGCTATGCAGAGCTAGCAAAACCAGTATGCCATAGAGAGTTGGCTCATTCACTGGCCTCTTCAGGGCCAAGCATGTGGGATCCTGTTCACAGCCTTGAACTCCACAGTTCAGCTGAAGGTCTAGATTGTCCAGTGCTGACTGGATCAATGGACTAAACCTTGTGGAGCTTTCTGAGTTAAATACTTTTATTTCTTACACACCTATCAGTAGTAATGAAACATTGATATTTTGGAATGTGCGAGTTGCAAAAACAATGATGATTTTGGACAAAGAGACTATGGGATTTCAGCATAGTGAAGTTCTTTGGCATAATTACTTATAATTAAGGATAAAGTTGATCAGCATCTAATATTTTGAATTTTCTGACAGGTATTACCACATGCATATACAGTCTTAACAAAGTTTTAAAAAATGTAACTTAGAAAACATAGCCTTGGCCTTCCCTTGCCTTTACATGTAGTACCACAGTAGATTTATAGTAACAGAACCATCTGTTTTGTCAAGAGCACAGATTCATAGAGAAGCTGAACTAGAACAGTGGAAAACATAGCCTGAATAAACTTTATTTCTTTTTTGTATGTACAAGTCTTAATACTCGTGATGTTTATGCTGATTTTTTTAACCATTATGATTAAGTTCTTATATTCATGGCTAATAAATATGCATATATGTATATGCATGTATATGTACATATAAATATATGCAGCAAACATATACATACAAGTTAAAATTTTTTTTGGATTATTAACTCTAGGTTAGGAATCCAGGCTGCAAAAAAATATTTCTAGGAAAACTAGTTTATGAGACAAGTTTTATAAATTGCCTCTGTGTATCCACAAAGTTTCTAAGTAAGAAAAAGAAATCTTACCCTAATTTGTGACTTTTCACCAAATATATAAAGGGTGGCTTGGCGTTTCAAGAGCTGGTTTTGCAGATAGGCGTTGTTACTAATGGAGGCTGAGTGATCCTTGCCTGCCAGCCGGGCACCAACATCAATGAAGGATGTTGGAGAGCTGATTAAGCGAGTGCTGGAGCGGAGACTTGCCCAGACACCTTTACAAAAGTCAAAATAACTGAGTGAGATAATCTGATTTGAAAAGACCGGTGAGTAGGGAAAAAGATGCATGCTCCTTAGATAGTTTTAGAGGTACTAGCAAGTTAGTTAAAGTAATTGATCATACCGCTCACTTGATATTTACTTTTGCAATATTAAAAGCATTTTTCAATAATGAATTTCAAAATCACATCATCTTAGGCTCAGAGGTACCTAAGAAGTCACCCATGTCACTTCTATTTTTGTATTGATGTAAATTCAGTTTTTTTTAGTAAATAAGAAATCCTATAGAGTTCACTGACAGTGGTAGAGAGGGGAATAGCAGCAGTAACTCAATTTCTCAGGGCTTTATTCACTTAATTCAATAATTTCCCAAGAAATAAACTAGAAATGTACTAAACCTACTAAAATCTGAGGTTGGATTAAGAATTAAAGTGTAGGCCAAAATGATGTAATTTTGAACTCGAGTCTATTATAGTTCCCCCCCCCCATCCATGAAAAATAGAGAGAAATTATGTTAACAATGCATATTTCATTGCATCTTAGGAAGTTTTATTTAAAATTTATAGTCAAAAGCAAATGTTTTCTAAGGGAAAGGCCAAAATAAGAATCTCATGTTATAAATTTACCTTAATTATATTAATTAGAAAAATAGATTTTTATATGTAAATGAAACTTAAATAGTATATATCTTTATGTCTGGATATTTAATAAGTCTTGAATTTGACAAGTCCCACAGCACACTCAAAACAGAGCCTCTTATAAAGAGCCTGTAGGTTGTAGTGCTCATCCCAGTGAACAAGGTTCACACTTTGCCAACTGCTTCCCTAAAGAGGGTTTTCTTCTCCACATTTGGAAAGGGTCTTTGAAAAATTTTAATGTTTGCTAAATGTTAAATGAAGCCATGTTTCTAGGTGACTAGAAATCACCATAATGTCACATTTGCTTCTCTCTCTATAAGCACTTATAGGGTCAAGAGACCAGTTCCCTAGAAAAGGTTTGTAGGTGATATCTGCTTAACATGGATGAATCTTTCTATATAACACATGAACTTTTCTTAAATATTATGGTGTTTTATTTTTTGTAAATGGAATCAGAAAATTCAGAATGTAGATGAAAATAAAAATTTGACAAATGTGAAAACAGTCACCTGTATCACATATGAAAATGGTTAAAAAGAGTGACATATCAGGACAGATAATACAGTACCTTCATTATGGACTCTTCCCTTAGTTGAAGATTTGGAATTTGACTGAGTAAAACATTTATCTCTGTACCCATGCACTGGTTGGTAAGATTAAAGACAGAAGGAGGGATGAAATGTATACAGCAGCAAACATCAGAGTAAATTGTGGAACAGAAGAATAGGTTATATCATTTTGTAAATTAAGTTAGCATAGGGGAAAATGTAAATGTAATAAAAGTAAACAATTTAACAAAAATGTTATTACACAGTCACACACAAAAAGATGAACTGAGTGCCTGTTAAATGAAATTTCAGCACCAGTTTATAAATATTACAAGCACAATGAAATGGACAGCACAGCAGAGTGCCACTAAAAAATTATACCAAATGGACTAAGCTTTTATAGATTATCATTTGATGAGAAGCAAATTTATATAATAAAATTAAGAAATTGGGGAGGGTTAATGTTAGGAATACACTGGCCCTAGTAGTTAAGGAGGCAGATTGGTTGGTAAATGCTACGTATTATACAACACACTTGTTCAGCCATCACACCAGGAAACAATGAAGCTCTAGCAACCATTTGGAATAACTAAGGGCAGTTTTTGCAGTAGAGCATTAAGCATTGCCACACTATTTTCCTTTTTCCTTAAAAATTACATTTATTATATATAATTACATAGTAACAAGCAGCAAAAATTCATGACCCTGTGACAATACCCAATGCCACTAAAAATATAGCTTGTGATGATTGAAGTGATGATTTCTTCTAAAATTCCTACTTGCACCAAAATGATCGGCAGTATTAGAGATGATATTTTTGTAATTTGAGTAATATTGATTTTTTTCCCCAACAGAAAGAAATTGCTTCATGAATATGGCAAATTTACCTGGTAATAACAAAATGGTGAGCAGAAAGTTAGTCAGCTTATTTTCTGAGCAAAGGAATTGCTCTTGTCAATTAAGGAAAATGATTCCATATTCAGGATTAAAACTTTGAAGGTGGTATTAGTAAGCTATACATTCCAAAATTACGTAAAATATGACATGATTTGCCTTACTCCTTTGGAAGCAGGAAATGAAGGACATTGATGACTTTAGAGGTCAAGGTAAGCCAGAAAGCAAGGGGTTGCACAGCACTGGCTGAATGCACAAAGAATGCAAAAACTAGCAAGACAGAACAAAGACATGGCAAAGACACAAGGCCTCTTCTGTGCTAGCTGACTGCTCCTCTTCCTGCCAAGGTTTTGAATTTTCCTATTGGAATATGGCACACTAAAATAGTTACAGTTAAGCTTAAGAGGGTTGGTTCCTAATTCTGAGATACTGTTTCCTAAATATATCACACATTTTTATCCTAGTCCTTCTTCCTGGAATGATTTCTCCTATCTTTCTTCACCCAACAAACTCCTATTTATTCCTTAAGATTCCAGAACAATGTGAACTCCTCTGAAAAGCATTCCTGATTGTCCCCAGAGTGGTTGAGATCTCTATTTGAACTCTGATCACACTGCACTGTGATTATTTCCACATTTTTTTTTTTTTTTTTCCAGATTGTGTGCTCTAAAGGGCAGGGCCCTAATTATATTTATTCTTGTGTCCGTGTAAAGTCTGAGGTATAGGTACTCAAAACATTTGCTGATTGTTTTCTTTTTGAAAATAGATTGTGAGTTGTTGTGGTCCTCTACTGCATCTTCAATTATTTTCTCAGAAAGGATGAAAAGGAGGATATTAAATTAAAAAAAAAAAAGTACTTCTTCAAACAGAGGCTCAGTAGTGAGAAAATGCCAAGTATCAGGTAGCAGAAAATCAGCAATGAGAAAATGGCCTGTACTGATATGGGACCAGCAGAGGGCTTTGAGAGCTGTAATCCTATGTGGCAGTCATGTTAACTAAATGCTTTACTGCATCAGTGGCAGCGATGTCTACTAATCTTCCTGAATGATTCTTAGGTGTTGAATATTAGCTCTGAGCATGTTAACATTGATCTGGAGTTGTGTTTTCCAAACTGCAGGGTCCTTCTTAGTGGTCTGTGAAATCATTTTAGTAGGTTACATCATTATTAAAATAAGGTAAAGCAGATTAGAATTAAAAATACTACATGCACTGCATGTGGTATAGATGAATATTATAACCCTCCTGAGTGGTAATATGAGTATGTATGTATACATACAGATAAATTTCTTACTCTGAGCCATGATCAAAAAATTTGGAAAGTTACTGGCCTAGAGCATATGTCCTCTAGCTTCTTGTCTTTGGCCAGGGAGGGGCAAACTAGTTTCCGGCAACTTGAATTCAAATGTAGAATTCTTTATTTTAGCAGAGTATTAGGCATCAGAATTGTTTATCACAATAACAAAATGGAACTAAGACTTATAAAACTCCTATTATAAGCCAGTTTATTATTTCATTTACTTGTCTCAATTTTATAAATAAAGACACTGAGAAATAAAAGGTTTCCTAACTTGCTTACTATCACACACTAAGGGGTAGGGTTGTGGTTTGAATTTGAATGTAATGGAACCAAATTCTCAGTGTTTTGTCACCCAAGCAACCAATGGTCCATCCAGCAGAAACTGGCTAAGGGGACTGCCTCAGGGAAGAAGTAATGAAGTAAATTCTCACCAGGGGAACGCATTGTAGTTGAGAGCATGAGTGTTTCCTAAGCGCTGGTAGTATTCACTCCACATTGTTCAGATCAAAGAAAGAAGAGAAGGTAGAGATGCATGGGTTGCATGTAGAGATGGGGTAACTATTTTATCCATGTGACTTTGTTTAGCATAGTGCATGAGCTACAAGTTAGGTTCAGTGACTAATCCTAGTATCAGTTATGCTTCTATTTGCTAAGTGACCTTGGCCATGTCACTTCATCTCTTAAAAGCCGTTAAGATACCTGTTCTGGAGGTTATTTCAAGGATAAAATAACAAATGTAGATGAACTCTAAACACTATGGAAATGTGAAGGATGAAAAATTAAGAGTTAACTCTTAGCTATTATATAGTACAATTTTTAAATTTAAAGGGTTGTAGTAGTATGGAAATTAGAATTATTTTTTAACTTTAGAGGGCTAAGCTAGGGCCAATAAATAAAATTTATATGGTAGTATATTTTTAGATCAATATAAGAAAGAATTTTCTTTTAAACCAGGTAACTATTTACTAGGTTTTTCTTTTTTCATGAACTTTAGGTATAAGTGTGGAATGCAGAATAAAGAACAGAAATGGTCCCTTCCCTAGAAAAAAGGTTTTCTAACAAAGTTGCTGTAAATACAAGAGACTACTTTTGGGAAGAAAGGAGTTTCCTATTACTGATGATGTTCAAACAGAATCACAATCATTCACTTGGTGTGTTTTCAAGGGGATTCAGTAGTGCATGGGAGTGCGAGGAGAGTCTAAGATTCTCTGACTTCACTGTGAAGCACTAGAACTTTACAATCAAGATACCTCGTCTGGAATTTCATTTTGAAAAGTAAAGGAATCATATATAAACCTCCAGTGATCAAAGCAGATCATTCTTGGGAGCAAAAAGAGCCAACACGAAGCCTGTATTTCCTTGTACCAGCAGCTACTCCAGAAGAGAAAAAAAGTAATGTGCATATAATTCTCTATTGTTTTTCATACTACCATTTCAGAGAACAGTTTTGACAGGTATTGGAAGCACAGCCCATGAGTCTAGGATCACTTCTCGCTAACTGTTTATGCTTCTGTGATCAATCTTTCTGCACTACAAACCTGGAGCATCATGGAGTACTCCCGGGGCTGACTCACCATTTAAACATGCTCCCTTCCACCTCCCAGTCTCATTAGTATGTATGATTTCAGCAATGAATATATACCTCTTGTACAATGAGGCCAAATGTATGTTACCATACTAGCAATAACTTTGATCATTTAGAAAAGGATAATCACGAACAATTTGAACCATAAATAGTTGATTTAAGATATTACTATCTAGAAAAAGTTATCTGTTTTTAAAGTTGAATCAGTGCTCAGTTATAAAATCAGTCTTACTAACCTCCTCGAGCAAAGCTATTGGATGGGTTTACATCCAAATGTCCTGGCACTACCTGCTTAAGCACAGTGGACATTCTTGAAGTCCTCCTTTCAGTCCCTAAAGTCAGCCAAAAAGAAGAACAAAAACCATGTCGTTTGGGTTAACATTACTCAAATGACAAAAAGTTATCTTCATGTGTAGCATGTCTAATTGCTGCCAAACATTGTACTTTTTAAGTACCCGAAGCTTTAACAGAAATAACAAAGCACTGTTACTATTTCCTCAGAGATACACACATTTGCAAGATTATAGAGTTAGGTTTGGCAAGTGCAATCAGAGAATTTAATGGTAAATGAAGCAAGGCATGCATGGTGTTACTTTCCAAGAAAAGCCACTTTCTGCTTATGTTGAGATAATTCAAATAGCTGATTAAGCCAAGGAGACCAACTTTTCAAGTCACATGCTCCTGTGTCTGACACATTAGGGTTACCTCTACATGAACCCTTTGGGGTTCCATCACATGATAACTGAAACAGAATATTAGTACAAGTCTTAATTGCTTTATCCAAATCTAGTGAAAACAAACTGTACTGCAAATTATAAAATGCTGTGGAAATTTTGGGAATTTCAAACTTACAATCTTAACAAATATACATTTAATAAACATTCAACTTTATATTTTATAATTTAAAGTTATTGTAAAACAAATTCTAGGAGAAAAAAACAAAACCAGATGGCTTTATGTTCCCACCTCCTCTCCTGCTCTTTTCAAAAGAAAGTAATTATATTTCTAATTTGTTACTATTTATTAGAAAGTAATAGTGGTGCTCTGAGTTTTAAATAAAAGGAGCATCATGTTGAAAGGAACAGAGCAAGTAACTAAAGAGACTAACCCTAAGAACAAATCTGACCTTTCATTGTTGTCAAGAAGGAAAGTATTGTCGAATCTTACCTGGAGACAGAGCAAATGCTGGCCTGACAGTAAGGGTGTTATTGCCATTGAGTTTTTGATGGACAGAAACTGCACTCAGCAAGGCTTGCAAGTACTTTTCTTGTTCTATGCTACTGGAGGATTCTAGAGAGGAGGTAGGAGCTATAAAAGGAAAAAAATATTGAATAAAACAATCTCTGTTAATAAAACAGGTATGTATTTATGCTTTCAGTATGTAACCTTCGAGTTACCCAAATATAGAAACCAGTCCCATTTAACGCTCTAATCTGTTAAGTGGCTAATCCTCCTTTCTGATTGATTTCACCATACCAATTACTACATCATACTCCCAGAAAGAGTGCAGGTCTGCAAAAGCAATATAGGGCTGTCCTTCCATGCACAGGTGCTTCTCATTAACCAAGTAATTCAAAATGAAGATTTATAAAATACATTTCCTTGATGATCTTCCCATGCTAATTTTGGGGAGTAGAGGGTAGAGAGAGTTCTTTTGACATTCAAGAATGGGCAGAAGTAAGATTTTTCCCAATACATGTTGTATTCCAATTCTGTCATATAGGCCTACACAGGGTACATGAACTTGTAGGGGTTACTCCAAGTAGAGTGGGGGAAGATATGAGCAGTCGCTGTTGGTCCCTCTAAAAGAGGGTCAAACAGTATGCTTCGATTGAAACAACTGTGAGAGTAATTCTGGGTTGGAGATAATCTGAGACTACTTTGTGTGGCATGACAGAGACTCACTGCAATTAGTCCAGACTCTTTACAGAGGCAGCAAGAGGGACTCACTAGAAGGACATCAAATAGTAACAGATTTTCTTACCATGTGAACAGTAGACAGGTAATGAGCATTATTGTATTATTTTAGCAACTTTAAGATGCCATTCTTATAGTTTTATAAAGTCTAAGATGTCATCAATAGAAGATGTACCATTATTTTATGTACTAAGAATGAAAAAATGCTGTTAAATATATTTGGATTCTTTCCAGAAGAAAAGAATAGGACTAGTATGATCTACTTTCACTCTCTGAATACTCTGGTTTGCTGAAATGAAATCAGCTGAACCACAAAATTTAATGTTAATTTTTATCAAAATCCATATATAAACAGGCATGGTAAGTAAAATGTCAAATTCAAGGTGGGTTCCCATATTTTCAAGCATATTTTAAGTTATGCATGTTGTACACAGCACAATGGAAAAGTCTGTGTTTCAAGAGAAGGCTTGATAAAAGGGCCCAATTACTTCCTTTATATACTCTGAAGTGAAAGAATCATAACCTTGCTATAGAGAGATGCTTACCTGACTGAGGGGAGTTCTGAGATTTGAAAAGACCAACTACTCCCTTCCCATGGAAACCTCCAGATCGGAGGAGCAGGGTACTGCTTCTTGAGTTCTTCCAACAAACAACAGGTAGGCGATTGTGTCGATAGCAGCGGGCTACTCTTGGTAAACTACTGTCCTGTACAGATTGAGGTACAACTAAAAGGCCAGGGTAGCTTCAGGGACATGGAAAAGAGAAAGAGTATGATTTGGGAGGGGATAGGAAGGGTAGACCAAAAAGACAAGAAAATAAATGGGGAGAGAATGAGAGAATATAAGAATATTAATATCATAATTTTCTAAGACTTAAAACATATTGGTTGAGGGGTAAGACATCTTTTCAAACATAGGTTTAACTCAGTTCTCCAGGGGTTGAGTAGAAAAGGTCAACACGGTGAAAACAGCTAACTCACCCACTAATCTGTGTAGCCTTTTTTGAAATAAACCTTCAGTAATACTGAAGACTTTTGCTGAATAAACTAAGCTTAGAAAATAAAGTGTTATATAGAATTTTTAAAAAGGGCTCCATTAAACTGGTGTTTTCCCTTGCCTTCTATATTACTTTTCATCAACTTGAAATAAAGAATGACAGGTCAAATTGTCAAATCATTACATCGCTAAAATGACAACAGAGACAAAGTACACTAATAATTAGACTGACTAAAAAGGTAAAAGGATTGAAAATCAAAACCAAATAATTTCTGTTATGAGAACAGTATGTTTAATTGTCAAAATGAGTGTAAATATTTTAACATTACATGTTGATATTTAAAAATACTAACTCATAGAGTTACAGGATATGATGTTGGAAAAATAAAAATAGACAAGAGTACCTTGTTTTTAATAGATTAGTAAGTACAATAAGATAGGCAGGTTTCAGAGTCATTTCTTTTGTTTATTTAGAACTATGACATGAAAGAGATTTCATATTAATAACCTACCAACCTTTAATCCCATTATTTTTGTGTGTGTGTGATTTTTTTTGGTGGTGGTAAGATACCTAATGTAAAACTTATCATGTTAACCATTTTTAAGTGTACAAATCAATGACATTAAGTTCTTTCATAATATTGTGCAATATCAAAACTATCCATTTCCAAACAGGATAGAGCTCAAAAGTCTACAAATGGCTCTGCCATATGACCTAGCAATTCCACTCCTAGGTGTCTATCCAAATAACACAAAAACACTAATTCAGAAGGAAACTTGCATGCTCATCTTCACTGCAGCCCTGTTTATAATAGCCAAGATATGGAAACAGCCTAAATACCCAGAAGCAGATAAATGGATTAAGTATGTGGTATTTACACACACATAATATTTATCTACAAAGAGAATTTTGTTTGGACAGAGAAGCCCACAAAAACTAGTACATATTCAGTAAATTTAAACTGCCATTTAAAAAAAACTATCGTTCTTCAAGACAGTGGGGTTGAAAGTAATAGCAACATTAAGACAACTTTCTAAAACATTGCAAGTCTTAGTATTTACAAAGTGCTCTCATTATTCTATTTAATTAAACCAAAATATATAAAAACAAAGAAAACAACTTACTGGAGATGAAAATGCTTAAATTTGTGCAAGCGTAGTTTAAAAAAATACATATAATAAAGTATATGAAATAGGTTTTAATACATATGAAAAAGAGTGAGAGATAACAAGAATATAGAAGAGAAAATGTGCTAAGTATCATCCCTTATAAAAATAAATATCACCTTCTGATTTAATAAAGATACTATTCAGTGATGTAATTATACCTTGGAGAATGCCCGTGAGATGGTTGCCCATGCTGCATGAAAGCTGTACCTTACATACACATACCCCTGGGGACGTTGTTCCTATTTTCTGGACACAGCCCATTCAAGACTCAAATGGAAAGACGGTCTCTTTTTGGGGCCCACTAACAGACTTACCTCCGACAGAGTGAATACATCCTGTTGGAGGCAGTGATTCGAAAATACTCTGGCCTTGGGCGAGAAGAGCTGCCACTTATGGTTCCCAAACCTAAACGTTGGTAGTCTCTGAAACAAGCTTTTTCTACTAACTGTTCCATTGTAGACTTCTCTGAGGCCTTGAGGGTGGTATTTGCCGGGAGCTCGCTATCATCTGAAACTGTGAAGGTGAAAAAGATTTTGAAGAATAATATAGCTCAAAATAAAGGGAAAAACATCCCTTCTTAAGAGGATTTTTTTCTTTAAATTTTTTTTTATTTATGCATACAAGAACTGGGTGTAGGCCAGGGGTGGGGGAGAGAGGATTCACCAGAGACAGAGTAGGGAGCAGAACAGGGGATCTACTGAAATATCCTGCTGAGGGGAGCAGCGGGGGGGAACAGGAGAGGTCTGCTGCATCATGTTGGTAGCTCCCTGGCCAGAGATTGAACTCAGGCCTCAGTGATCTCAGCGATGGGTGATAGCATGAGAGGGCTGAGACTTAAGCCTTACACCACCAGGGAGGCCCCTGAAGAGGATTCTTAAACCAAGGGAGGTTTATAATGGGGTTATAGGTACTAAGTATATCACCAACATGTAACTTCTATGATGAATCATTACAGTGACGATCAAACAAAACAGTGATAGATAGGAAATAAAATATCAGGAGCTCAATTAATTCAAGATGTCAGGGGAATTACTCCATTTTAAATAATATCTAACAATATAATATTGGAATAATTATCCATATTTTTGTTTCAATCAGGCATGCTTATTAATATCAAATTATAATGGCTTCCATTTACGACTCTATAAAATAAACACTAAAACTTTGTTAGAGGCTAACCTGTTAGTAAAATTTATCTTTACCTTGATCATCACACATACTTATCTAGGTATCAGGTAATTTTTTAGAGCATAAACTTCTGGGAGAAATTTCTATATTAAGTTCACTAGTGGGAAAAGACCTTTTCATTTCTTAGAAAATGAAGTTACACTTTTTGTGCATGTGGTATACATAGGAAACTCCCTCACAGTTTGCAATCAAATCTTAAAGAATTCTTTAAGGTTTTTAAATATGGATGAATTTACCAAATAATCAAGTATTTTAGGGAGGACTAAAGAAACCTCAACATTCCTAATTGGCACAGCATGTTTTAACTTAAAATTCCATGGTAAAAACTATCCTAATTTACTTAGTTATTATTACAGTGAGAGAAGTCAAATTAAGTTTTCAAAGTTTTTGGAAGTGTAAGAGCAATATGGCTCTCTTCCATTAAAAGAGAAAACCAGAGGGGGCTTCCCTCGTGGCCCATGGGTTAAATCTCAGTGCTATCACCCCCACGGCCTGAGTTTGATCCCTCGTCAGAGAGCTAACCCACATATGGTGCAGCAGAACTCTCCTGTCTTGCCACCTGCTTCCCTCAGCATTGTTATCTCAGTGGATGCACCTGTTCTACTCTCCACTCTCTCTCTGGTGAATCCCCTCACCTCTTGCATCTCTGGCCTACACCCTAGTTCTTGTATGCATAAATAAAAAAAAAAATCTTAAAAAAAAAGAAAAAACCAGCTCATTCCTATGAATAACACTGTCTTAGTTTGTGAACCTCACATTGCAAATCTATTATGAGATATCAGTCTTGTGTTAGCCTTTTATTTTCAGAGGAGCAAAGAGCATTATGTAATCTTTTGGTGGAATAACTATCATAGACTAACAATTTTTGTTCTATGAAGCAATCAGAAGAGCTAATAGTGAGGGGTACTGGTAATTTTTTTTGGTTTTCCATATGACTGTGACCAGGCTAGGGTTCCAACAAATGATCATTTCAGTAATGTAATGCATGCCCAGAGGCAAGTTTTTATGTATACATACTAAAATGGAGTAGCCAGTGACCGCTTTAAAGATGAGCTTTTTTGGGGCTTCCCTGGTGGCGCAGGGGTTAAAGTTTCAGCACTATAAAGGTATTGCCAGCTGGCCAGGGAGCTAATCCACATATGGCCCAGCAGACCTCTCCTGTCTCACCTGCTGCTCCCCTTAGCAGTGTATTTCAATAGATCTGCCTGTTCTGCTCCCCACTCTGATTCTGGTGAATCCTCTCACCACCACCACCCCACTCCCCCACACCTCTGGCCTACATCCCAGCTCTTGTATGCATAAATAAAGTAAATCTTAAAAAAAAAAAAAGAGCTTTCATTCTTTAAAACATTATTACTACTACTGGTAGTATAAATCTTAATAATACTGGTGAGAGAATCTAAAATCCTGAAAAGGAAATGGGTGTAATGGCACCCTGTCTTCCATTAGATTCTCTCTAGTGTTAATTCCATAAGCACACTTGATATTGGGTTAAGAATAGGACAATTAATAAGACATTTTGCTATTGACTTTCCCCCTACTGGGTGGTGTATCTGCTTTCCAAATTCTGTTCTTTTAAATATTTTGCAGGTGTTTTTTTTTCTTATCATCTAAGGACCCCTTCATCTAAGGTCCCCCATTTTGATTAACAGTACGCTCATGGGTATATATACACAATGGAATATTACTCAGCAATCAAAAAAGATAAATCCATGCAATTTGCAGCAACATGGATGGAGTTGGAAGGGATCATGCTCAGCGAAATAAGCCAGAAAGAAAAATACCGGATGGTCTCACTCATAGCAGGAATTTAGAAAACCTAAATAAGGGACCAGGAAAAAGACTAATTGCAATAAAGTAAAAATCAAAATCAACAAGCAACTATAGACCAGAGACACACTACAGTGGGGGACGAGGGGAGGAGAAGAGGAATTAGGGTCAGAAAAAGGGGGTGGAAATTGTGTGGGGAATATAACCAAAATGAAAAGGCATATATTATGCAAAATGATGTAAGAATTATATAAAATAATTCATAAAACATTTTAAAAATTAAAAAAAATAAAGTGTATACAACTGTGGAAAAAAAAAAAAAACAGTATGCACATGTTCCTACCAAAACCCAAATCTTCAACTTTGAAGAATATTCAATGTTTTTTTTGATATATATTTTACATCTTTTTTTTTTTTAAAGATTAATTTATTTATTTATACAAGCACTGGGTAGTCAGAAGTGCGGGAGGGTGAGAGAATTCACCACAGCCAGAGCGGGGAACAGAACAGGCAGAAGGACCAAAGTACACTGCTGAGGGGAGCAGCGGGCGGCAGGAGAGGTCTGCGCGCCATGTGGGACCCTCGCCTGTGGCCAGGGATCGAACCGGCACTGCAGAGGCTGTAGGCAGGTTCGCGGCCCAGCGCTCAACAGCTGCGCCATCAGGAGAGACCTGATTGTTCATTTTTAAAAAAGATTTATTTATTTATACAAGAACTTATAATAATTATTTATTCATTAATATAAGGGTACAGGTCAGAGGTGCGGGAGGGTGAGAGAATTCACCATGAACCCCGCGGGGAGCAGAAGAAGCAGACGGACCAAAGACACTGCTGAGGGGAGCAGCAGGCGAGACAGGAGAGGTCTGCCGCGGCATGTGGGTTTCTGCCTAGCTGGCTGGGAATCGAACCAATGCTGCAGAGGCTGAGGACAGCTTCACAGCACGGCGCGCAACCCGCTGCACCGCCAGGGAAGCCCCATTGTTCATTTTTGTACAGTGTATGCTTTTTCCTCTCAGGTGTAGTCTCCACAGAATTCCCACCACCAATTCACCTGTGCACCATCACCATAATCACTTGTGCTCTTCCCTCCCCTCTTTTGATCCCTCTCCCTCCTCCTCACCTGCAGAATGTCTCTGATTTATAGTTGCCTGTTAATTTTGTTTTTTTAATTGTTATTATTTTTCCCCTGGCCCCTTATTTGGTTTCCCTATATTCCTCCTATAAGTGAAACCATCTGATATTTTTCTTTTTCCTTCTGACTTATTTCACTGAGCATAAACCCTTCTAGCTCCAGCCAGGGTGCTGTGAATGGCATGAGTTTATCTTTGTTGATTGCTGAACAATGTTCTTATTTCCTTACTCTTATTCCATAGGAAGGTACAGAGGACTACTTTATTTTTTTTATTTTTTTTTTTTTTTAAAGACTTATTTATTTATTTATACAAGCACTGGGTACAGTCAGAAGCGCAGGAGGGTGAGAGAATTCACCAGAGCCAGAGCGGGGAGCAGAGCAGGCAGAAGGACCGAAGTACACTGCTGAGGGGAGCAGCGGGCGGCAGGAGAGGTCTGCGCGCCATGCGGGACCCTCCTCCGGTGGCCGGGGAGCAACCGGGGATCGAACCGGCGCTGCAGAGGCCGCGGGCAGCTTTGCAACCCAGCGCTCAACCACTGCGCCACCGGGGAGGCCCCAGAGGACTACTTTATATTTAAATTTCCTAGTAGTGGGATTTCTTTCTTTCACCCTTAAATGAGACTGACATAAAAAATAGTAAGACAGGTCTTGGGTTTAGTAAAAGAGAAGTATGCTTGAACAAGATCTTATCTGAAAATGGAATATTGGGGAAGTAATTTTTTTTCCCAGTTCTGAGAAGCTGATAAGTGCTTCCAATCTTATGAAATCTTGGTTTTTGTGAGTCAAGGATTAAGCACAAATATACCTTAGTCTCTTACTTAAATAAGAAGTATAAAAATGGTTCATGAAGGAAAAAATGATTTGGACATACCAGATATGTCATCTTCTTCATTCCACCCAGGACGATTCACTCTCTCTTCCACAATCGTACCTGTCCTCCGCTTCAATAAATACTGCCGCCCAATTGTCATTTTTCCTGCCCTTTTGGCACCTTTCACAATTGTCTTTGAAAAGGTGCTACGAGTCATAAAATCAAAGAGAATGGCAACTTAATAAGAAGATATTGCTTAAATATTTTTTTAAATAATAAATTTTATTTTTATATTCCCCTTGCTTAAATATTTTTGATACCTACATAGTTCAACTTGTTACTTCTTCAATATCACAGCCAGACCTTCATTTAGCCTCTCCTTTAGATCACTTTTTATATGGCAATTTCCTATAAAATACTTGTTATCAGGACCCTGCTTTAGGCTAAAAGTACAAAAACCTACAGTGAGATACAAACTACTTACTATCCCAAATCTAAATTCCAAATCTATATACTCCTCTTGCTTTTCGGTTTAATATATACCCCTAACCCACTCTGGTTATCCATGCCACTGCCTCACAGTTTTCACAAACTATGCTTGTGGAAATCCTCCTGCATGGAAAATTAGCCTATCCCCTTCTCTGATTCAAACTCTGTTTTAAATTTTAAATTGTTATGTCTGTCTCCGTTGCAGTTGGATAGAATACACTCATTATAGATAGGTATAATGAGCCTGGGTATATAATACATTAAAAAATACATTTCTTTTCCTCTCTGGCATTTTTTAAATATAAGAACCATACAAAGATTTGTTTCTTCCATTGAGGGCTCCAATAATGAGTAACACAGACTCTGCTGTGACCCACAGTACTAAGATAAGATGCTTGGTTCATGATTGTAAATACCTGGGAGGCTGTTCATACTTCAGCAAATGAATGGTATGCATAGCCTCCGTTACTTACTTGGTAACAGTGGTGCAGCTACGCAATTGAGAAATGATAAACTAGGGAAGCTCGAATATTCCATATCTCCAGCCTACCCATGTCCTTCACTCCAAAATACTCCCTAACATGTAATTTGTGCTCACAAATGCCCAAATTCCAGATGATTAATGATACATAAACTGAAATTTAAGCCCCTATGTTTATCACTAGTTGAACGAGAATTTTAAAACTATTATTTTGTAGAAAGTGAAATTTAAAAGTTTCAATATAAATTACTAAAAACTACTATCAGAAAATAAGGGTTCCTATTAAAGAAATATGACAATAAAATGCAATGTGTGATCCTGGATCAGATCGTACTACAGGGAAAAAAGCAGCTATTAAAAAATCATCAGCAAAATTTGAATATAAACTAGGTTAGACAAAAGTTTTGTATCAATTAAATTTCCTAGATTATATTACCATACTGTGGTTATATAATGTCTTTGTTCTTAGGTAATATATACTGATTGATGTATTTAAGGATAAAGGGGTGTTATGTGTCTATCATAAATGGCTCAGGAAAAAAACAAAACCAAGGGAGAATTACAAAGAAAATGGAGTAAAACACTGGTAAATCTGAGTGAAGGATATATAATAGTTCTTTGTGCTATTGTAACTTTTCTCTAAGTTTGAAATATTATCAAAATAAAAATGATACAAAAAAGAAAAAAAAATAAAGGCTGGGATATTAATGAAAGCTGAAGGGATTGATCAAAGGCTGCAAGAAAGTAATCAATATGGGGGAGGGAAAATAGAATTTCCCATTTTAAAAATGCACTGTGAACAGTGAACATGATAGTTAAAGTCTCTTGCATAATTTTTAGTTTTGGATATTTGTTACAAATATCAATATTGTTTTCCATAGCTTCTGAACCTGGTGGAATGGACTTGACAGAATGGCAGATTAAAAGAGCAATCACTTATACACTGAACCAAAGAATAGGTCATATCCCCTGACAATACTGGAGGGCTAAACTTAAGAAACCGGACTTTTTTTTCTTACCGAAAGGAAGTGTTTTTTTCCTTCTGCTTGGGTAAAATTATTTGTGGGGTAGTTTGTCCAGCAGCAAAAGCAAAGGTGGTGAAAATAGACTGAGGATAACGAAACTTCGTCAGCTGCTTCTTAAAGATCTCTACTATTTCTGGACTCACTTCTTCATCAAATGCTACTTTAATCAGCTAAAGACAAAAGAGATTCAAGACATCAGAAACAAGCATTTCCAGTTAACATCTCCCTAAATTACTGAAATAACAGAAAATAACAATACTAAATGACAAGAATTTGGAGGTTGAGGGAACCTTGAATACCATGCAATACAATTTCTTCATTTTAAGAATAAAAAACTGAGGATCAGAAAAGTTTACCTGCCATGACTGGTTATTTGTCAAGAAAAATCAAGAATCTTGAATTTGGGATTCTTTAAGACTATCTTTTCTATAATGGTACAGGGAAATTATAGTGGCTGACATATAAATCACTGTCCTTTTCATTTCTCAAATGTTGGTTTTACCTAGAAATTTGGCCTAATAAAGTCTCCTCCTACCTTGGAATGCTATAAACCTAGGAAGAAAAAATTCAGTTTGACTATAATAGCCAGGCAATATTTTATTTTTTTTTTTGGCAATTGGAACAGTGAAGAAATCCCTAGGAGGTCTCTGCTCTTAGACAATGGGAGAATATCAGCAGTCTCCAACTTCACACAATTAACATATGAAGTTACTAGGGAGGGCTTCTTACTTAGAAATTATGGGGCAGCAATTGGAACTCTTAGAAACCTAAGAAGTCAGAGACAAGGTATTACGAATAGAAAGAGCAAAACATAGAGTGAGAGCTGTAAAAAGGAAAAACGAAGAAAAGGTCACTATTTTAGTGTCTGGTTCCCAACAGTAATTACACAAATTCTGTTATGCTCAGAGCCCTTGGAAAAACTTTTGCTTTATCAGTGGTTATTTAGTTATTAACAATAGTACTTTAGCTCTAGCTATAAATTCTCAGTTTTCCTTCTTTCACAGAAGAGCCATAGAGCATCTCCTACTCAAACAGAAGCCAAGAGAACGGCTCTCTACCTAAAGCCTTTCTCAAACACAAATTGAGGTATAACTTGGCAGAGAACAGGAGCCAATTGTATGTGTCTGAATTTCTGAGATTATTAAATATTGACACATAATCTGTTGGTACTCGAGTTGGCCAAAGTACTCAGGAAATGAGAGCTATAATCCAATACTTTCATGAGTTCACTTAGTTGGAGATTACCCTCTCAGAACCTCTGATTCTCCTCATCCCCATCCACTAACTTTTGATCAAATGACCACAGAAGATGGTCACAGAAGAGGAGATAAATGCAAAATATAACACCATGTAATTACCTCCAAAGTTTGAGGGAACACAAAATCATTTGCAGGAACCTCTTTATCAGTAAAAGAATGACTTCCTTTCTGAATACCTGAAAAGATGCTGACGTGATCTGCAGTCCTTCCTGCATGTTCTGCTGTAGCTGGTTCTGTATTGTGATCTTCTTCTCTTTGGTGATGGAGGCAATTGGAAAACTCCGCACAACTGTTTGCTCACCAACTAAAGAAGGCAGGACAGAGACTCAGCAACGGTACTTTATAGCTCATTGTCAGAGTCTCTGCTGCTCATTTCATCAGCCTTGACTGGAGCAAAAGTGACATGATTCTAGAATAGCATTTATTAATTTTATTTCACGGCAATTTACTTCCGAGACTCAATCCTCTCTCAGAGTGAAGAAACTGTCACAGTATGTCTGCCTTTGTTCTATTTCCCCAATGTATTGTGTGCCAAAACAAGCTCAACTGGTATAAAGTAATCTCATAGGAAGGGAAGGTTTTATACAGAAAAAGTAGTATCTTCCAATATTGACAAGATATCCATGATACAAGAGTAAAGACAAAGAGTAAAGGCTTTTAAAGTATGTTTCCACTTGTAGTAAAAAAGGGCCATTATTATGTATATGCATGTTTGAAAGATACAGATTTTTGCCAAGATTTTTAGAAGTTTAAATATTAAAGGAAGAAAAGAAAAATATAATACTGCTTATAGCTGAGGTTACAAAGATGAGTCTAGAAAAGTAGCAGCAAACAAAAGTGGCAGCCTCCCTTGAAGAGCTTACAGTTTACCATGAGACAGGAATCATATGAAAATAAAACAACATGTAATTAACTCCTTAGTTTGAAGGAACAAGGCTTTGAATATTTCAGAAAGGGAGATTTTTTTATAGATAACTAGAAAATAATTCCTGGAAGAAGTGAGAAGGAAGATGAGCTTTGAAGGGAGTATAGGATTTGCAGCAAGGAAGAGGGAAGGCATTCCAGGCACTAGTATGAGGACCAGAACAGGAACAACAATGGCAAGGCCTAAGAGTTAGGAACTAAAGGGGTAAGATGTGGACTAGCATTATCTGATTTAAGAACTCACATATTTATCTACTTATTATCATCAGAAATTCTTATTCCCTGGATCTGTATTTAACCCAGAAAATTCTATCTTTTTATCTCAAGTTCATACCCAGAAGCTACGCAAAACTAGGATGTTTAAAACAGCCAATGCCTGTATAACACATGTAAAATTATCAAATTTTGATATACCACTAAAGGAGAAATTTTTTTTTTTAAATAATAAATTTTATTTTTATATTCCCCCATACAATTGCAAACCCCCCATTCTGACCCCAATCCCTCCCCTCCTGCCTCCCACCCCCAAAAAGTGTCTTTGGTTCATAGTTTTTTGTTGATTTTGATTTTCACTTTCTTATAGTTATTCATTTTCCTGGTCCCTTATTTAAGTTTTCTAGATTCCTGCTATGAGTGAGACCATCCGGTATTTTTCTTTTTCTTTTTGGCTTATTTCGCTGAGCATGATCCCTTCCAGCGCCATCCATGTTGCTGCAAATTGCATGTGTTTATCTTTTTTGAATGCTGAGTAATATTCCATGGTGTATATGTACCACATCTTCTTGATCCAGTCATCTATTTTTGGGCATTTGGGTTGTTTCCAAAGCTTAGCTATTGTAAACAGTGCTGCTATAAACATAGGGGTGCAGGTGCTCTTTGGAATTGATGTTTCTGTGTCCTTTGGGTAAATACCTAGGAATGGAATTGCTGGATCATATGGAAGCTCTATGTTTAGTAGGTCCAGAAATCTCCACACAGCTCTCCATAGTGGTTGGACCAGTTTGCACTCCCACCAACAGTGTAGAAGAGTTCTAAAGGAGAAATTTTAAATTAAAAATTTAAAAGAGGGCCTCCCTGGTGGCGCAGCAGGTTGAGTACAGCATTGTGAAGCTGTCTATAGCCTCTGCAGTGTGGGATCAATGCTGGCCGGCCAGGGAGAATCCCACACATTTGGCAGACCCTTCCTGTCATGCCCGCTGCTCCCCTCAACAGTGTATTTCGGTCATCTGCCTGTTCTGTTCCTGGCTCTCTGGTGAATCATCTCACCCTCCCATGCCTCTGGCCTGTACCCCAGCTCTTGTATAAAAATAAATAAATCTTTAAAAAAAAAATTTAAAAGAAAAAGAAAGCAAAAAGGTTTTCTCTGATAACTCTCGTAAAATGTGAAATTAACCCCCAAATTAACAAAACAATATATGATTTCATATGAACTATAGCTTTGATTTCTTTAAAAGAAATAAATTAGAGCAATTTAAATAACCATGTATCTCCTATCTATATGTCCCAAATGTATGTTTATGACAAATGACCTCACAAAGTCATAGCACAAAACAATTACAAGCACTGTATGGTTTCGTCTAAGAGTATGCTTATATGGGCCTCCCTGGTGATGCAAGGAGTTAAGTCTCAGTAATATGACAACTTCGATCCCCAGCCAGGGAGCTAACTCACATGGTGCAGCAGACCTCTCCTGTCTCACCTACTGCTTCCCTCAGCAGTGTATTTCAGTAGATCCACCCATTCTGCTCTGCATTCTGTCTCCCCTTTTCACTGAGTATAACTACTTCCACAGGTTTATTTTGCTTATTGAATTTTGAGCTTTTTTTCTAGTATGTGGTAAACCATCTTTTCTGACAAAGATAAAAAAACCATCTTGATTGTATCCAACCGATGACTTATACAACTGTGAGATGTGAAAGGTAATTTATACATCTGAATCCACTGTCTAAAAAAAAAGCACTGCACATAGTATATATTCATCAAATACTACTCAATTAATAGTATCAGGCAAGGAAGGAATTTTAATGACCATTTATCTCAACGATTCTCAATCCTTAGTATATTCAACAATCACTTCTGGGGCTTAAAAATGCAGATGCCTGGGTCTGTCCATGACCAGAATCCTGTTCCAGATTCTTATTTAATTGTTTGAGGGTTGAGCACAGAAATTGGCATTTTTTAAAAAAACTTCCAAATATGAGTCAAGTTTGAAAACTACCAATTCCAATTTTCTAATATTATAAAAGGGGAAACTGAAGCCCAGAGAAGTTAGGACACTTACTTAAGATACCAAGATTGGTCAATACTAATCTTTACCTGAGCTTTCTGATTTAGAGTCCAACAGCTTTACCTGAGGTCTTAAATACTTTTCCCACCTACCACAGTATTTTATATAGAGATTAGAATGATTTTTTTTTTTTTAAACTAGAATGGTCCTTCTAACATGAAAAATTTTTTTTTTTTAAAGATTTATTTTTATTTATTTATACAAGCACTGGGTACAGTCAGAAGCGCGGGAGGGTGAGAGAATTCACCAGAGCCAGAGCGGGGAGCAGAGCAGGCAGAAGGACCGAAGTACACTGCTGAGGGGAGCAGCGGGCGGCAGGAGAGGTCTGCGCGACATGTGGGACCCTCCTCCGGTGGCCAGGGAGCAGCCGGGGATCGAACCGGCGCTGCAGAGGCCGTGGGCAGCTTCGCAACCCAGCGCTCAACTGCTGCGCCACCGGGGAGGCCCCTAGAATGATTTTTTAAAGAAAGATAATCAGATGAGTTCTTGATAGGGAATGCTATTCCTTTCTAATATAGAAAATTAAGTTGTAGAAAGTAAAAATAGAAGTTGAGGGAATTTGGTAAGTAGACAAGAAGCTATCTGCTAAGAGAGAAATGGGGTTAACAGAAATGGGATGAAAGACAAATACTGGATGATTTCACTCATGTGGAATATAAAGAAACAAAGGAGCAGACAAAACGAAACCAAAACAAACCCTAGAAATCTGACTGCAAAATTGAGGCTACCAGAAAGGAAAGATGAGGTTAGGGAGTAAAAGATGGGGGAGAGGGCTCAATGAACTATAGTGGAGGCCTATAGGTGCTTGGTGGTGGGTGTGGCATGGTAACATACATCTGAAGAGGTGTGAAACTATACCTCCAAATCTTACAGTGTTGTTACCTCAATAAAAAATAACACAATTAAAAAAACGGAAAGTAAGGCAGTAGGGCTAGTTAGTGCTGTACAACCTGTGATGCTGAGCAAATCTTCCTAAGAAAGGCATCATGTGTCTGGAAGACGTACACCTTAGAGTTAACTCTAGGATTCAGAAAGGTTGGACAAATCAGCAGGGGACATTGTTAGTAGCTTGATGCTGTGAATACCTAGAAGTCACAACTGTGCCTCATAATATTATGATTGTTTCAGTGAATGAACTCTTGATTTAGTGCTTAGAAGCACTCTTAGTTTTTCAAGGAAGAATCTATGATCCAAATTATCACTAACTTTGACAGACAAGCATATTCTAAAAATACCTATGTGGCAATAGGTTTACTTTGAATTTGAAATGATCTGCAAATATTGTGCACAGAGGGACTCAAAAATCCCATGAAGCACACAGATGTTCATGTTCTGAGCACACGATGGACCATACCTAGCTGATCATGGGGAGTCCCTCTGAACAGAATTCTGTACGTAGTGAGGAATAAAGCTCCTTCTGCCGGCAAGAGCTGAGGGCCTCCAAGAAGGCCTCCAGTGGCTTCTTCTCTTCCATCAGGATCCAGCAGGACTCGAAGACCTTCACAAACAATTTCTTCTCCTGGCAGGAGAGTAGGCCTAAGAATCTTGGGCTAAAAATAGAAAAAGTATTATAAACATTATTGTGGGGTTTCCAACATTTAGATCAAGATTATCTTTTCAGTTGCAGACCTAACTTGAGCCAGACTTCCCAGGTAGCCAGAATGAGAAAATTGATATGTGAAGAGGCAAAAATGAAGTTTCTGTGTCCAAATGTGAAAGATTCTTTGTAGCATTGCATGTTAACAGTAAAATCATTGGAAATTATGTTTGAAATATTTATTCAGTGAAACAGTTTGCAACCAATAAAAATATGCCATTGTATCTATACGCATTAACATAGAAAGATAGCCAGAATACCCTGCTAAGTAGAAAAGCAAATTGCAAACCAGTAGATATATTATGACCCAATTTTTGGAAAAATAAAAGAACTGTAAGAATTTGAACCAGGCATTAAAATTAAAGGTGGAACTATCATAGTTAAGAGTAAAGGTAGGGGTGGGAGCAGAGAGAACCACGGGGAATTTTCCCTTTGCAAAATGTTATTTCTTTAATGTTTCAATTTTATGTAAAGAACGCTGTTACTTTTGAATATTGAAAAACCATGTACTTAAAAAAAAAGATATGTATTTAAAAAGACCATCCTGGCCATTATTGAAGATTAACACAATAAATGGCTAAATAACAAATATCTATACATCTTGGGAAATAAGGAACCACATGATACACTCCACTGCAGAGTTCAGTGCAGTGGTTCAGTGCTAGAAAAAGAAATCCAACACTCCCGAAAATCTAACTCGCTTATTTTTTTAATCAAGGCATAAATACTATATAAATCAGCACTATCCTTTTTTATGACCCTAGAAAGCTCAGAGCTAAATGAAAAGCCTAAGTGTGATTACTGTGTTTCAGAAGCCTAATAGAATTGCCTTTCCTATCCAATGGACAGGAATTTACTTTGAATTTACTTTTAATAGTTCTTTGAATTTACTTTTAATAGTTCTGTTTTCTCCTTTGAATTTACTTTTAATAGTTCTGTTATAAAAGTAAGAGGATTCTGAATCCTAGTCTGCAGACAAGATGCAAAATAATCACCCAGGAGCCTTGTTAAAATACAAACTCCCAGGCCAAGTCCTAGGGTACTACAGTTCAGAAGGCTAGTACAGGATTGAGACTCTGAATTTTTAATAGACATCCCAGATTCTTATTGTATATACTTGAAATGTATACAGATTTAGGAGCCTGTTGATTTTATGATAATTGTCCTAAGTCCTTTTTTTGGAAGCAAACAGGGCATTAAATCTTGATTTGGGCTTAAAAGTTACAATGCTCAGAATTTATTTACTACTGCTCCTTTGTTGAATCCACTATCCTTACTTTTGTTTTTTGTTTAATTTTTTTAATTTTATGCATACAGGAGCTGGGGTATAGGCCAGAGGTGTGTGTGTAGGGGTGGGGAGGGGTGAAAGGGCTCACCAAGGACAGAGTGGGGAGGAGAACAGGCAGACTGACTGAAATACACTGCTGAGGGGAGCAGCGGGCGAGACAGGAGTTAGTTAGCTCCCTGTCTGGGGATCAAACTCGTGCTGCAGTGGCTGCCGATAGCTTCATAGTGCTGAGATTTAACTCCTTGCACCGCCAGGGATGCCCTCCACTATCCCTACTTTAATATTCTTTTTACAAGGAGCTATATGATAAACTCCTCTGAAAGTTTAATGTACCATTAAAACTGCAGCTAGTCTTATAAAAAGGTAGAAGAAGGTATTTTCTGGGGTACAACAGTCTGCCGTTGCTGTTTTTAGTAGAGATGTTATATCCTAAGGCATGTAGTCCAAGATAATTACCTTCTGTATAGGTGGAAGTCTTCTACTCTCTCGATGCACTGCTTCTAGGGTCTCAATGTGCATAGCTACAATTCCTAGAATGAGTTAGAGTATTCAAAATGAAAGTACAAAAAAACCAAGTTATGAATATTTTAAAATTATAAACTAATCATAGTTTGGCAGTTTCTCAAAAAGTTAAACTAGAATTACCATATGAATTCCACTCCTAGGTACATATCCAAAATAACTGAAAATAAGGATTCAAACATTGATACTTGTATGTGAACATTCATAGTAATACTATTCACAATGGCCAGAAGAATGAACAACCCACGTGTCCAACAACAGATGAATAAAGAACAACAAAACATAGTATAGCCACATAGAGAAATATGATACAGTCATAAAAAGGAGTGAAGTTCTGTTACCTGCTACAACATGAATGAACCCTGAAAACGTTATACTAAAATAAGTCAGATACAAGAGAATAAATATTACATGATTTCACTTGCATGCAATATCTGGAATAGGTAAATTCAGAGAGAGAGAAATTACCACAGGCTAAGAGGCAGAAAATGGGGGCATATTAATGAACACGGAGTGTCTGTTTGGGTAATAAAACTTTTTGGTAATAGACAGTGGTGATGACTGTACAATACTGTGAATGTAATTAATTCCACTGAATTAAAAATGACTAGAGCAGCACACAGACACACCAAAGCATTAAGTTGTACTCTTGAAACCTATTATCATAACCAAAGGTAATAAAATTTTATTGGAAAAAAATTAATTAGAACAGAAACAAGTAACATGGCTAAGGTACATAAAGACAAGTATTACAGATCTTATGCTACAAAAACTACAGCTATAAGAACAGTTTTTACTCAATTATTTTCCATATTCTGATTCTCTATTATCTGATTACCTGGTATCATGCAGTGAAGGCTCTTGATGTGATCCTGAGTAACTCCACTCTCTGTACAAACCTTGTCAATAAATCTGGTAATGAAACGCACTACAGAATTGGCAATATCATTATTTTCTGAATCTTCAAATCCACTTTCTGTATCATAGCTCTCAGCTACACTTCCTGCAATACTAAAAATGTCAAGGAAAAAAATCATGGGTTTGTATTCAAATGTAACAAATGACTGCTATGACGTGATCAATGTCCCTAGCAATTTAAATCTGCTCAAAGGTGTATACTTAAGTAGGAAGCTCATTTAACTGTATGATTCCTTTATAAGTGATTTTGGTGAGACATTATATACTACTTGCCTACATTTGTAAGGTACTGTCAGTCCCTGTCCCTTGCACACATATTTGTTTTCATACGAATATCTTGTGCTAGTCTCCCAAAAGTAACTCAGGAACTACAGAAAATAAAGCAAGGGTCCCTCTCAAAAAATCTTATCCTGTGCCTCCCTGGTGGTGCAGATGGTTGAGCGCCACACTGTGAAGCTGTCTGCAGCCTCTGCAGTACGGGTTCGATCCCAGCCGGCCTGCGAGAATCCCACATGGCGAGGCAGACCTCTCCTGTCCCGCCCGCTGCTTCCCTCAGCAGTGTATTTCAGCCCATCTGCCTGTTCTGCTCCCTGCTCTGTATCTGGTGAATCCTCTCGCCCTTCCGCACATCTGGCCTGTACCCTGGTTCTTGTATAAATAAATCTTTTTTTAAAAAAAATCTTATCCTACCAAGTAAAATACCGGAATCTGACAAAGTAACATGGTTACCTTTGGCCTTTGGCAACTGGGGGACATATTATCTGGTAAGGAAAAAAATTTTTCAGTGAAAAGCATATTCTTCTGAATGGAGAAACAAAGTTTCCTAAGAATAAACCTCCTTCTTTTACCAATATTTCTCTTTGAGTGAACCTTAACCCTTTTGGCTACTTTAAAGTCATCATTCTTCTGTAGGTTACAAAAATCACATAATAGAAGGAAATAAATTTGGACTGGAGGAGATGTAAAAGCTAAAAACCTGCCCTTATTGCTTATTCAGTTCCCAATAGTCAACAAATTCTCCTGTCTTGTGAGCTTTATTTTTGATAATAGAAAAGACCCATTTTTCTATTCTAATCTACTCAATTCTCTTTCCTTCAAATCCAACCACATGAACTGAATTGGAATTAAAGTACAGCTAAGCAGTCAATATAGCCATCACATCATCCCAGAACAGTAAAACGGCGTAGTGCCTTAGAAGCTCACTATGTAGATTCTGAAAAAGCATAGTCATTGATAATTACGCTATAAAAGAAAGATAGAGTCCCTGGTGATGATTAACAAAGAGCAGCTTGGAAGGGATCATGCTCAGCGAAATAAGGCAGAAAGAAAAAGAAAAATACCGGATGGTCTCATTTATAGCAGGAATTTAGAAAACCAAAATAAGGGACCAGGAAAAAGACTAATTATAATAAAGTAAAATTCAAAATCAACAAGCAACTATAAACCGGAGACACACTATGGTGGGTGGGGGGGGGGGGGCTGTGGAGAAAGCTTTAATCTTTGACTCCCTGACTGTTCTACGTGTAATGAAGAATTCATGTGGTGTCACATGCTTAAAGTTTATAATGTATGGCTGCCTTCTGAGGAAAATAAAGTGATGCATTTTGAAAATGAAGCCAGTGTGTTAGATTCCAGAAAAAGTGGTATTTGCACTTGTTTTGAAGGACAGAAAATGAATTGTATGGGGACTATAACCAAGATGAAAATGCATACATTGTGCAAAAATGAAAAATGATGTAAAAAATACATAAAAGAAAAAAAAAAAACAAAGAGCAGCTTGATTGACAACAGGAGATAAATGAGGGGATGGATTAAGGAAGATCTTAAAAATCAAGCAAGTGAGTCTAGAATTGCTGAAAGGGATTACAAGCATTAAAGGAATGTGATTAAATATCAATTCAGGAACATTCTTTTGGCAGTGGGACACATGACTAGAGAGAGAGGAATGAAAACAAAACAACTAGATTATTATTATAATAGTTACAGTGTGAAGTGATGAAGGTCTAGACTATGTTGTTCACATAAAATAACTATAGAAAGAAATAGGGGATCTGCACAGTTGACTGTACAGTGCAAAATCTAACTTCAAGTGGTCTGGCTAGAAGACCAGAAGTTTTCAACAATAACTAAATATCTGGGATAGGGGAATTGAAAGACTGTGGCAAGAGATGTAGGCTTGTGTATCAGCGTTCCAAGAAAATATGAAGAGCCTTGCAGAGGGAATGAAAATGGGAAAAAAAGGAACTGCCTGAAAGAGCCTGAGAAGAATTTATTAGAGATTGAAAAATTATCAGAACACTGTAGGAACAATGAAGACTAAAGGATAGACTTTCGCTGTTTTTTTTTCCCCCAAAATTTTCTCTCTCTTTTTAAAGATTTATTTATTTATTTATTTATTTATTTATTTATTCAGACAAGAGCTGGGGTACAGGCCAGATGCGCGGGAGGGTGAGAGGATTCACCAGAGAAGTGGGGACCAGAACAGGCAGACTGACGAAATACACTGCTGAGAGGAGCAGCAGACGCGACAGGCGAGGTCTGCAGCGCCATGTGGGACCCTCGCCAGCCGGCTGGGATCGAACCAGTGCTGCAGAGGCTGCAGACAGCTTCACAGTGTGGTGCTCAACCGCCTGCACCGCCAGGGGAGGCCCGATTTTCGCTACTGTTGAAATGAACAGTTTATTCATTTAATCATTTGGTCAACCAAATATTTACTGAGCATCTACTATGTACAAAGATCTAGGGATATAACAATGAATGAGACAATAAGCAAAGGAAACATGAAAATAAATTTCGTTGTCGAAAATGTCATGAAAGAAAAATAATGCTAGGGGCCTCCCGGTGCAGCTGCGAAGCTAGCCTCTGCAGCGGTTCGATCCCCGGCTGCTCCCCGGCCACTGGAGGAGGGTCCCACATGGCGCGCAAAGCAGTGTACTTCGGTCCTTCTGCCTGCTCTGCTCCCCGCTCTGGCTCTGGTGAATTCAGCTTCTGACTGTACCCAGTGCAGAAACAAACAAACAAATAAATAAATCTTAAAAAAAAAAAAAAAAAAAGAAAAATAATGCTAGTAGAAAAAGTGATACATGTATTACTTAAGATAGGGAGCCGGGAAGGCATCTCTCTCCGGGTAGGTACATCTGAGTAAAGGCTTAAATGAAGCAGGGAGGTGATTCTTGTGACTATTTCATGGAGAGTCTTATAGATTGAGGGAACAACCACCACAAATGGGCGCTGTGCGCCGGAGCTTGTGGCGTCAAAGCACTTGCCGTGTCCATGGAGAGGGGCTCAAGAGGCCAAGCTCTGGCCTGAGGCCCTGGGGCTCTGGGACAGCGAGGATGTTGGCTTCCTTCGGGCCACTGTCTGGGCAGTGAGTAAGAGGAAGCTGCAGCCCGCCCGGGCTGCCCTCACTCAGACACCTTCAGCAGTAAACAAGATAAAACAACTTCTTAAAGATAAGCTTGAAAACGTAGGTGTAAATGTTGGTGTATGAACCAGGGGTTGTTCTGGAATACAATGAGAAGAAAGCACAGCTAACACTTTAAGGAACAGAAATGAACTATGTTGAAGACAAATTATCCAGTGAGTTTGGGTTCAATAACCCAAACATCAAAGGAACATGTGGCTGTGGATAAAGCTTTAATATTTGACTCCCTGACTGTTCTACGTGTAATGAAGAATTCATGTGGTGTCACATGCTTAAAGTTTATAATGTATGGCTGCCTTCTGAGGAAAATAAAGTGATGCATTTTGAAAATGAAGCCAGTGTGTTAGATTCCAGAAAAAGTGGTATTTGCACTTGTTCTGAAGGACAGAAAATGAGATACCATTGCTCTTAGGGGTCATTTTTCTTATTCTACCCTTAACTCTCTGACTTTCTTCCTGTGAGAGCCAGTTTTGTGAAAGTTGCTTTCCTGGATGAATTTTAGGAAATGTGTTCTTATTAGGTAGACACTTAATGGCTCTGAATGGCTTGAATGTGCACCTCTCAACCAAATTAATAGAATTCTGAGGCTGGAAGACTGCTCGTGCAACAAGGTGGCACATGGTCTTTTTACCCAGACATAGAAAGGCCATGCCATGTTTTTTATCCAAAATTTCATTGTCAGGTGCCTCATTTGCTTAGCCTTTAGGAGTACAACCATTAGATGACAGTACAGTACAAAAATTTCTTTGAAATATAGTGTATAATAGTGCTGAGTGAAGGGATCAAAAGGTAAATACTTCACCTACCTGTTACTTAATCCATTTCTTTTGCTATCCTACAAGTCCACTCAGAGATGAGATCTTAAACTGACTTGGATGCTTTTCATTGGAAGGTCTATTGAAGCCATCTAGCCCACCCCCTTAATTTTATACCTGCGGAACCAAAACCCCAGGAAAGCTGAAGGGTTTTTATCCACCCTCGCACTGCAGGCTTGGGTAGGGGCAGAGCTCAGACCAACGGTATCTCCCCTTCCTTGTGGGTGACATGTAGGCCTAGAGGCAATATTATGCTTTGAGTGTTTGAAGATGAGTATTAGCAAGAAGACCAGTTTGGTTCACAGAAGAGTAGAAGGAAATAAATTCAGTGCAGGAGGCAGAGATGTTTGGCCTTTTAATCCATGAATTTATTCTCAGTAGCAAGGGAAATCATTGGAGGATGTAGAGGCAAGCATGGCTGAGAACACAAATGCAACAGATAAGTTGGATTAAAGGAAGGCAACTTTGAAAAGAAAGAATTCAACAGTTAATTTTCCAGAGAGCACCTTCTATAAATCACTATGGCAGAAAGTAACTGAAGGATAGATTAGTAGTGGCTGAAACATTTGAAAAACTAGGTAGAAAAGAGAAGAGAGTATATGAGATTAAGAACAGTAGGATGAAGTGAAGGTTCTTTTTATAGAGAAAAGTTGACTAAGTCTGAGGTGGAAAATTTGGTTAAATTTTTGACTACTGTAGCATTTTTTTACACAAAATACTTTATATGCTCTGGTAAGCCCAACTTGCCCCAAGAATAGGAGGGTCTTTGTATGTCCACATTTCTGTACCTGTTTGTGACAATGCTGTTGCTCCCACTCTCCCAGTCTCCTGGAGCTACTGTTCGTAGAAGCTTGTTTTTACTTGTGTCAAGTGGAACTAGCAGGTTGACCATGAGGTTAGCAAAATGAATGGCCTGACTGAAGACAGTGCTTTCCTCACGTTGCACCAGCTCCTGCTGAGTTGATTTGCTCAGAGTAGGCCAAAGGCGTAGCTGCTCAGCCGCAAGGTCCATTGCTGTTTTCTCCTGATATTGACTATCAGGAAGCTTATCCTAAAAACAAAACAACTCAATCCAAAGCTTCATATAAGATTCAAAACATTTTTTCTTATGTTCAAAAAATGTTTTAATAACTTTGCTACTAAATTCCTATCAGCAATCATGAGCACATATAAACAAACATAAGAACAACAAGAAAATAAAAACCTCCTCATCTTTGTTCCCCAGATCCAGCAAGTCTTGCATGGAACCATGTGACAAATGGAAGGAAGCAGCAGTAAAGCAGAGATGCATATATCTCTCATTGCTAACATTTCACTAACCTGATTTATTTCTATTTCCATTCCTTTCTCATTATAAAAAAATTATTGACCTGAAGTTCCTATAAATTCTCAGGTATGAATGCTCCAGTAGCATTTGCTAGTAGTCTGATACGTTTCTTTACTTCTACTCTTTGGCAGAAGATGGAATGACGAAAGTCACCCAAAATAGATTTCTCTGTAAATGTGGGAATCAAACATCATCCATGTGAGCATGCAGGTGAACATGGAATTTTTAAGAAGGGACAATAACTCACATCTGCAAAGCACTTTATGGCTTATGAAGAGCTAATATATCCATAGTAGCTACAGATCAAATATACTTTTTTATAACAGAGGACAGAAGCAATGATATATATTGCTCTACAAATACTTCTGAGATATACCAATGTTAGCATTGTAATTGCTTTGAAAAATGATCAAAAGCACCTGGGTCTCCCTGGTGACCTAGGGGTTAAGTCTCAACACTATCCAGCTAAGGCCAGGGAGCTAACCCACATATGGCGCAGCAGACTTCTGTCTTGCCCACTGCTGCCCTCAATAGTGTATTTTAGTAGATCTGCCTGTTCTGCTCCCCACTCTGTCTATAGTGAATAGACAGTGAATAGACACACCCTGCACCTCTGGCCTACATCCCAGTTCTTCCATGCAAAAAAAAAAAAAAAAAAAAAAAAAAAAAGCCAACCAAAAACAAACACAAAAAACCACAAACTATCAAAAGCATCCACCAATGCAATTATTTCTGGAACATGATTTCAAAGTAATGATCTTTGCATCCACTACAAGTTATCCTTTAGCCAAGTGCATTTGTTGTTTAGAAAGAAAAATAAGAGTTTTAAAGTAAATTAAATAAAAATTCACACTAACAATACAAGATAATAATTTAGAATAACAGGTAGCCATATTTGTTAGTGAAATTTCTGTTATCATATTCAACAATAGCCCATAATATGTTTAAAATTACATGATGCATAGAAATATTTGAATACTACTGTGCAGCTTGTTAGATACATAGTTTCATTTATTTCATATAACATATGGACAATTTAAAATGGAGGATAGGGCCTCCCTGGTGGTGCAAGGGGTTAAGATGGAGCACTATGAAGCTATAGGTAGTCACTGCAACAGATTTTGATCCCTGGCCAGGGAGATGACCCACATGGTGCAGTAGACCTCCCCTGACTCGCCCGTTGCTCACCTAAGCAATGTATTTCAGTCAATCTGCCTGTTCTGTTCCCTAATCTGTCTCTGGTGAATCCTCTCACCCCCATGCCTCTGGCCTATACCCCAGTTCTTGTATGCATAAATAAGTAAATCAATCTTAAAAAAGTTAGCAATCTTATTTAAAAAATAAATAATAAAATGGACAACAATGGAAAAGATCAACAGCAATACATACCAGGTAGAATTAAAAATTACTCTTAAAGTGAATTAACAATGATAATTAGTCTTTAATGTTGCTTTAAGTTCAATTAATAAGGATGACTATTTCTAACACTTATTATGTACTGTATATAAGGCACTCTTCAATGCACTTTACTGCCTAGGAATTTTAGGTTTGTTCTTTCTGTTCAACTTCCAGCAATTGTTTCCAAGAAATTCTTATTTATTGAAATATGATACAATTCTTGTGCGAAAAATTATTATCAAGAAGTTACTGTGAAAAAATGTCAGAAGTCAACACAAGAAAGATGCTGACAATTGGACCCCTAAAGTATACCCCAAATATACTGATAGGAAGTGGCTAGACTTCTTCTTTCCCTGGGAATACCTATATAAGCTTTCTTTGAGGCCAGGATCCCAGATCCACATAAGTAACATTTTTCTCTTACCTTCTGTTTCATGTATAGGGCATGATTGTCTTCCTTGGCTGAGAGATACAAGGAGCGAACCTGTTCCTGCACTGCATTGTAAAAGGTTGTCTCCCAAAATTGCTGATTCGTCCAAATGGGGTGGTCCTGGACACAGGTGTAAGCAAACTGGCTGACTCCAGGAGCCAGTTTCTGTGGGAGCACACAAGATATATCACCATAGTGGTTGACACAGTTATACAATTTCAGAAAGTTAGAGAGGTTGTAGTAACCAACTATTTGTGTGTGTGTGTGTGTGAGTGTGCATGTGAGCTTACAAAGTCAAAGGATTTTTATTTAAACACTTTTGACTGACAACTTTGGGCTTGCTATCAAATCCTTGTCACTTTGTGATTAAAACTGGCATTTTAGCATTAGCTAGAAACCAAAGTAATTACCTAAATTAGAGAATGTATGGAAAGTACCTAGCACTGCACCATGTAAACAGATTATTATACAGTCAGTAGCTCTAATTGCAACATATGATAAAATCCATCACAATCTACACATAAACTCCAGATAATTTAAAGTTTCTTTTTCTTGGCTTTACAGTACATTTTGAGGACCATTAATTAAAATGTGTGTGAGTCTAGAGCTTGGTCTTATACACAAATTAGGGCATATTATGTGTTTGAAACTCAGTAGGACTTGTACCCTCCCTACTGATTACCTCTAGCCCTCTACCCTCTCCCCACCAAGGCTTATTACAACTTCACAGAGCTGTATAGGAATCTTAGAGTATAATGAAGTTCTGGCTTTCTGTGTTAGTGTTTTCTTAACTGATGCAGCTTATTCACTTTCCTATCAATAATTATCTTCCTGAGGGATGACAAACTAAAAGTGACTATGCAAAAACTCCTTAAATCTTTTGAATGAAAGTGAACTATGTAACATTCCAAAGCAGAAAAATCATGTAAAACAGAGTGATAGAGGGTCAGATCCCATAACTTGTTTATGAACTGAAAATTATACCAGTTCATAACTGAAGAATGATAGAATTAATTGAAGAATGATAGAATAAACACTTTTTGGTACCAACACAGTCACAAGTGGCCATGGCATATGACAAATGCATAAGAAATCTTTCATTCTCAAATACTTCAAATATCATTAACTTTCCAAACACAAAATTTGCCTCCTTTCTTTGTGTTTTTCTGCTCTGTCTTCTCAGCTGCAAGCAAGGAGCAGTGTCCTTTGGTTAGGATGGGCAGGGCTACTGCACTCATGGGCAGGTGTGTTCAGGACCAGTAGAGGGCAGTAGCATCTTATGCTCCCTAATTCTATCAAAGTTTGAGGTAGGAACAGCAAAAATGGAGATTTGCAATATGGCAGGGCTAGAAGGTGGCGGTGAGGTGAATACTGTGGTCCTTGCTGTACATTTGAGAGACCATATAAAGAAAACAGATTTGACCAAGGTCACATGGTAAGAATGGTAGAAAAGAAAATAAAAGAAATAAGGTTTTCCAATGTTCTACTTTGTTTCTGTAAGATATAAAATTTAAGATATCCCACAAAACAAAACTATAATTATGCAGAGAAAGATGTAAAGGGATGTTTAGGGTTTCAGGTTCAGTACATCCTGTGACAGTAGCAGTAGTTTTAGTAAATAAAGAAAATAAGTACTTGTGGATAACACCATCTCTTGATTCTAAATCCTACTTTGGTTTGAAAGAAAAAGCTTTCTCAATAGGATTTCTCAAACTGGTCTATGTATGCTAGTTTCATGTTTTATTTTGCACAAAGATGAGACCGTGAGGATGATGATGGTGGTAGGGAATGCTATTGCTAAATGACATCTTTTCTGACTTTCAATTCTGGCAATGATATTTACATTTCACAATAATTCTTATGACTCTGTCCTAAAGAAACAAGTGATATTTTGCCATGCAATTTTATGAGATTTTTGAGAAAATGTTGACTTCCTTCCTTATCTAGAAAAAATAGCCCTGAAGGTACTAGATTAAGCAATGTCATTCATTTTCAACAAAGAACTCAAAAGAAACCCAATATGGAACAGGATATGGAAAATAAACTTACAGGGCTCACCAACCAGCAGGCCAAATTTAAATCCAAATAAATGGACACAAATCATCTCAGAGGTGAGTTGGTCAAATGAAAGGTTTAAGATGTCAGTATGAAGAGCTTGTCTAAGGCCTGTTTGTCTAGACATGTTTGCTCTCCAGGCCCAAGGCTCCAATTAGGGACCTTAGAGGGAAACCAGACTTCAGGAAAGAAAATGAGTTGGCAGGACTGATTCCATAAATATGTACTGGTCTTAAAGAATAATGCAGAATACAAAGATTCACTGTTTAAATTGCTGAGTATTTCTATCCAGTTCTGGACTCTGCAATACAAGTATACTTTATTGCAGTCTCAGGGATGGTGCCAGCCAGTCTTTTATGATTCTACATTGGCCTGATCAAGTCTAGGTATAGAGTCACTTTAAGAATTAATTTTAGATGGTTTCCTAACGAACTTTGGAAATGTTTAGTCTTGAGAGAGAAACAAAGGGAAGACAGGAATAGAGAAAATATGTATTTAAAACCTGTCTTAATCTCAACCAAATCTTAAATTTGTTTTGTACATTTTTTTAAAAACAAAGAGCACAAAATATTATAGATTTGGTTGAAGCTCACTGTGTACCTCTCTTGATCTCACTTTCCCCCCAACCCTGGAAGTAACAATGATCCTGAAGTAAATATTTTCATACCTGTATATAACTATAAAGAATGTACAGGCTTACACTGTAGATTTATCTTTTAAGATTTTTTCAAAGTATACAGCTTATAGTTCATTGATTTATGTAATATTTAACTAAATTAGTTAATTGGGACCGAACACAACATATGACTCAGAATGGGTAGTAAGAAAGGGGGCTATAAGCAATGAATATTTAGGATACTATATTCATTAGTTGGTGGGATTTACAGAATGGTGAGCAACCCAATTAGCTAAATGGAAGTGACTGTGAGAGACTATAGTTTTTCCTATTCTACTATCTGATGCTCTGATTGAACAGTGCATTATACCTCAAATTCATAATGGTCTAAATCTCTTCTGGATTGCTCAGAAGATTCAGGTACATCATTTCTGCAAGAGAATTATATTTATTCAACAGTACTGTCCAATATTCATTTGATGTGCAATTTTAATAGTTGGGATGACAGGGTTTAATACTTAAACCACTTATCTTTTTAATGATTCTCTATATCAAGCTGTTTAGTAAATATTGAGAGATCAGAGAATAAATCAATTTCTTTGTATTTCAAAAATTAGTAGAAATTAAAGCTTGTCACATCCTTTTTCTGGATTTGGCACTTTTCTTTTTTTGGCAAGTTTTAAAACTTTATATAAATGTTACTTTATTATGTCTTATTTTATTTATGTTTCTAGACTTAATCAGTCAATAAGAATAAATCATATCTGGTACTGAGCTCTAAGTAAACTTGTCAACTTAGTTCTCAGAGAAACCTTATGAACCACTGAGATAAATACTATTATTGTCCCTATTTTTTTTTTGGAAAGATTTATTATTTATGCATAAAAGGACTGGGGTACAGGCCAGAGGTGAGGGGGTGAGAGCATTCACCACAGAGTGGGGAACAGAACAGGCAGACTGACTGAAATATACCGCTGAGGGGAGCAGCGGGCGAGGCAGGTGAAGTCTGCTGCACCATGTGGGCTGCTCCCTGGCCAGCTGGGGATTGAATTCGTGCTTCAGTCACTGGCAGTAGTTTGATAGACCGTCCTTAACCCCTGCGCCACCAGGGAGACCCTACTATCCATCTTTTAAAGAGCAAGAAATTGTGGCACAGAGAATTTAAGTAACTTGCCCAAGAGAATACTGCCAGAAAGTGATGGAACCAGAGTTGGTAGTTTAACTAAAGAATCTAGTTTCTTAATCACTGTACAATTGAACTACTGTATGAAATTCCACTGTATATAGCATTCCCTTGTTCCTCTTAATGGGCATTTGTGTTGTTTCCAAATTTTTCCTACTATAAACAATGTGTATGAATATTATCACATATGTCAACTCTCAGCTTTGATTACTGTTTAAGTGCCCATTAGCAGTATCTAGAAGTACTTGAGAGGGGCCTAAGAAATAAGATAATTCCCACTGTTATCTGTACCAGTAATTTTTTTTTAAGTTAGCAATACGTTTTTAATATAAATTATCTAATCTGTGTTTAAAATTTTAATTATCTCATGATTAAAACACTTTTTTTTCTCTCTTGTTTTTGGCTTACTTTTATAACCAGTTTAGACATAGGAAGGATCTAAATGAAGTCTACATATAACTGCTAGATTATCTATCTGAATTCAGTTTAAATCTCTATGTTCCTCTCCTCTCCTGCTCTTCTACCCACCCCCACTTCTTCATCCCCACTGGCAATCTACTTGTGGAAAAAACTAGATCATTGATACAACAGAGTTACTGCCAGTCTGATGGTTGCCAACTGCATCTCAGTAGCACCACGTGATATATTCTTTTGTCCTCTGTATTTCCTGCAGGTAGAGTTGGATCTAGTGGCTTGGTCAAATATAGGCTTGTTTGTTTGGCAAGAATTTTTCATGGTTATTACTCTCCTTATGTGAGGTTATAGGTTGTGGTCCAATGCCTCGATTCATTAATCATTAGAAGTGATAAAACAGTGATATACTTATTCTAATATACTTCCTCATATTAACTGGAATATTTCATAAAGAGACGCTTTCCCATATCAACTGTTTGGTGACCTAAACATAGCTTGTATTAACAAGCAGGATAAATACATGATTTTACCCCTTCATTATTGGTTATAAAAACAATGAATTCTTTTCTACATCCATCACAGATGAACAATTTTTCTTTTTTATTCATATTTTTATGAACTCACGGATTTTTAATCATATTTGATTTAGTTATTCTTAAGACTGTTTAAAAGCTATTAAAACAATGTGTTTACTGGAATCTTGTGTTTTTCACTAACTCAGTAAAAAGTACTATGGGATTCCTGTCTACAAAATATGTATAATCTATATGGGGAGAGATGATCGCCACATGTGATGATTGATGAAGTTAAAAATGTTCTTAATAATAGCACTATGAACTGAGAGGATAAAGAGAATGATTAGGAGAACATAATCAGCAAAAAGAGTAGTTGATACAT